CCAGGGTCGCAAGGAGGGCATCAGTTCCTTCTCCGCCGTGGGGCGCGAGGACGCCCTCGATGAGGGGCGCAACACCTGTGCACTGGAAGATATCCAGCTGTGTCGCGTCCTCCTCGAAGACTTGGGTGAACGCAAACTTTTCGGTAGAGCGCTTGCGGTCATTTGGCGGGTTCAGGATGATGTGCGAGGGATGCTCCTCTCCCTCGTCACACTCGACGGATAGGAAGCGGTCGGGCGCAGAGGTGCCTGGGCCAGCTGGTCGAAGGCGGAGATAGACCTGGAACAGGTTGGATGTTTTGGGAGGTGGTGCATCCATCGTGGATGTCATCTTGTCAGCGTGTTTTTGAGCTTGCCGAGATGGTCTGGGAGGCTTGCGACCGTTGCGTCGTGGAGATGTAGGCCTGGTCTGGTGTGTGATGCTGTTGGGTTGACCGAGCTGTGGTGTTGATGATTGTTGGCAGGGCGACGGGAGAAGCGGGGCTGAGTCAGCAGAAGATGTGCGTTGGAATCTTCAACATGGATCGTTGTCTGCCTTCACACCTCAAACGTCATTGCAATGCATCAATCAAAACAATCAATTTGCGCCATTCGATCCCGGATATCAACGCGATAAATGTCAAACAACTCCATCTCCTAGCGATATGGGCTCGTTGGCGACAGCGTTCTTGAGCTTCTGCTGTCCAGCTCTGCCGGCCTGATCACCCTCACGTTTGGTTCCAGTTCAATCGCCTCCTCGACGATGAGCGTACTTGGTCGCCTAGGCTGCGACGCCCTTGCCTCCGCCGATAGCCTGTCTCGGCCTATCATACCCGCCAACGATTCGAAGCTCGCTCTGGGCAATACATGTGGCCCGTAAATACCACCGGCCGCGGAGTCACCAGACGAGGACGACCCTGGCGACATCGACGTTCTCCTCGCCCATTGAGGTCCCTCGGGCTCTTCGCCGATGGCCACGTCGCGTCGTGCGACATCCTTCTTCACCACCGCTTTGGAGTAATCGATGCAGAGCTCCAAGATGGCCTCGCTCAGAAACGTCAGTTTGTCTTGACTTGGTGTCAATGTCAGGGACGTCGCCGTGAGGGGTTTCTGAGCTGGTGCTTTGGAGAGGGCACCCATGGCGCACACATTCCATTGCGCGAGGTTGGCGCCGGTAACCTGGAGTTGTCTGATGGAGATTGTCGGGCCACCTTTCGGTTGCAAGATCAGAGACCTGTTCATAATGGTCGACCTCAGAGTTGGGACTGTTCCATGTTAGTACTGACACTGACGAAGCCACAGACCGGCGCACGACTCACTATCCGTCCTCATCATCGTGTACCCTCCTTCCCAGTTCTTGAAGAACATGACCAAGACCGGCCTTGGCACGGTGCTCGCCAGATAGAACTGCTGACCGGTGGTTGTGTCGGTACACAGGCTCAGATTGTCGCTTAGACGCTGCTGGCCTTGCGCTTGTGTGCCCGTCCCAGAGCTCGTCAGGGTCACCGGGGATCCGATGGGCTGCTGTGGGCTTGTCTCGGTCGTCGGTGGTTTTCTCTTCCACAGCTGCACCTCACCCCAGGCTTCCAGTTGCGGATTCGCCCTCGCCCTAAAGGCGTTTCTGATGGAGTTCTCGTGCCGCCGGAGGGTGAGCTGGATGGCCGTGTTTTCGTAGCACTCTACAGCATCGTATCCAGTGACCAGACTCTGGAACCCGAGCACCTGTAACTTGTCCCTAAACGAGTAGAGGACCGACTCGCCGCCGCCATCGTACCTGACCTCGATAATCCATTCTCGTGCCCGATTCTCGGCTACAGCATAGATGGGGAAGACGACATCCTGGCTGATGCGGAGATATCTGATGACGCCGGTGGGAAAAGTCGGCTCGCCCAGCTTCTGGAGCGTTTCGCTGATGCGCAGCCTATCCTTGGCCCCGTTGGCCTTCCAGACCACAAGACGGTGAATCTGACCTTCCGCCGATGCGAGAGAAAATGTTGCGTCCGGGCTGTGGAGGTTGTAGTTGTGCGAAGTGTCGATTGCCAGGCCGTTTTGCAACATTTCGCCCAACGCTGAGCTGGTAGTGGCAGTTCTTTGCTATGGGGCAGAAGCTGGGGAAAACGGTGGCTGCACCAGGATCTGGGGTTGGGATGATGGGTGAGAGCAGAGGTGCAGTGGGAATAGGGTGGATGAGCCGGGGCGGATCTGGGGGAAGAAGCATTGCTCCGCCGCGCGAATCAAGGCGACGAACGACCACAGACACACTGGCACCAACGACTTGGAATCTGCCCTGGCGGGAGAGCTGGACACGCCAGGCGCTTGGCGGTCCGACGCGTTAGCTCATGTCTCGTGTCTGTCTCTCCCCCTCATTCTCGCAACGTCCCGACAGAAGGTGCATCAGCGGCTGAGCTGAACCAAGCCCCCTTTTCCCCTCTCCCCTCAGGTCTCTCCCTCGGCGAGCAGTGGTTCGGAACCGGGCCTTGGCAGCTGGCGGTTGCCTTTTTGTTCACGACGCCACCAGCTGAGGGCGCCACCACGCTGGCTCGCCGTTTGATAGGGTCGTCCGCCCCAATCTTGCAGAAGAGCAAGGGTGCTCAAAGGAACACTGCCGGCGCGCCACGTCGGTTCACCCTGCGTTGGCGACTGGCCTACCGGTCATGTGGGTGCGCCTGGCGGGCTCAGACTGGGGGGAAGGACGCCTTGACTGAGCCCGAGTGAGACAAGCTCGTGGGTAGACCAGGCTGGGGCGGACTGGGTCGCCTTTTGGGAGGACTTCACATGCCGGTCCCCGTGCGCGGGGAGCTTGAGGTGGGAGGTAGGGGGATCGGGATAAAGAGCTGCTCTGCTGGAGCCCCTGGTGGTCCTCCAGTTCCCTGTCTTTTCAGGAAACACAAACAGTCTTACCTCATACTCATACCATGGCCAACGCAAACGGTGGCTTCAACGTGGCCGATGCAGGGCCGTCTCTCAGCAAGAGAGAGGAGCTGGAGCAGCAGCTGGCAGCGCTTGATGCGAGGAGAGAGGTGAGCGAGCTCCCCTGTCCTTCCAAGTCTATAGATGACCACTGACATCAGTTCAGGGTGTGGATCTCTCGCCCACGTCCTCCCAGCGCCTCGGGCCCTTCACAGTCGGCGCCCTCATCCTGAACAGAACTATCGGAACTGGCATCTTTGCCCAGCCCTCGAATGTCCTGGCCCTGACAGGTAGCGCGGGCCTGGCCCTGGTGCTTTGGGGCGCTGGCGGCATCATCATCATGTGCCTGCTGCTGTGCTGGCTAGAGCTGGGCATGACGGTGCCTCTCTTCAACCATGTTGACGAAGATGGCAACCATCATGTGGTGTCGACACCAAGAAGCGGCGGCGACAAGAACTTTGTAAGGCTCCAAGCCTCATCCGCTGATGGCAAACACTGACGCAATGGCAGCTTGAGTTCATCTACCGCCGGCCAAAACTTCTGGCCACCTGTGTCTTCGGAGTCGTCTTCATCGTCTTCGGTCACCTCGCTGCCAACGCCATCCAATTCGGCATCTTCATGGCCACCGTTACGCACCCCCAGTGCCGCGAAGGCGAACCTTGCTTCAGCAAAGGCGCTGTCATCGGCTGGGCCCTGGGCGTGGTGACCGTTTGCAGCCTGATCAATATCTCAACTCGTCGGCTGGCCATCTCCTTGAACAACTGGTTCGCCGTTGCCAAGGTTCTCTTCGTCGCTATTCTCGCTCTCATGGGCATTATCTACGGGAGCATCCATGGCGATGGATGCCGCCAGATCTCTTGGGAGAACAAAGGAGAAGGCGGCAGCTTCGGCGATGTCGTTCTCGCCCTCGTCTTCGCTGCATACCCCTACTCCGGCTTCGAGCAGCCCTTCTACGTCCTGGCTGAAGTCAGGGATCCTCGCCGCACATTCCCCAAGGCCACAATCTGCGCGCTCTCCATTGCCCTCGTGCTTTTCCCTCTGGCGAACTTTGGATACCTCTGCATGACTCCCTACACCGGCAACGCCACCTTGCCTGAGAACATGGTCGTTGCCATGTTTGAGCGGCTGTCGGGCAACGGGTCAAACGATACCAAAGAGAACTCGGTCATCCGCGGCGTCAATGCCATCCTCGCCCTGTCGGCCTTCGCAAATATCATGGCACAGACGTTCACGGGTGCCAGGGTCAAGCAGGAGATTGCCAAAGAAGGCATCCTTCCGTACTCCCTCCTGTTCGCCACGGGAAGCGACTCACTCATTTCGAAAATGACCCGCCGTCGCGACGCGGGACCTGCGGCCTACGACATTGACAAGCACGCCGAGCAGGTCCCCATCGCGGCCACGGGCCTTCACCTTGGCTTCGAAGTCCTCCTCATCCTCGCCGTCGGCATCCCCCTGTCTCCCACCGACGCGTACCGCCTACTCTCAGCCATCAAGGTCTTCAGCGTTGTCGGCATTCTGGGCCTACTGACGGTCGCTGGGCTGCTGTACCTCAAGATCGACTCCCTGTTCCCCCGTGCCGGAGGTCGGGGCTGGTCCGCCATCGTCAAGTTCTTGCCATGGCTCAGCCCGCTTCCCGTACTGATCGCCACGGCGGGCCTGGCGCTCATCGTCTTTGGACCCTTTGTGCCCCCCACAGTATCGCAAGGCGGGACGATCCCGTACTTTGCAGGTCTCGTTACGGCGTGGGCCATCACCTTTGCGTCGGTCGGCTGGTGGCTGTGGCTCAAGTTTGATCTGCGACGGGATAGGCAGTATCTTCATGTTGAAAGGCGTCCATTTATTGAACCGGATGGCGAGAATGGTGAGCTGGTGCTCAAGGCGGAGTTTGTTGTGGTGGAACGGTTGCCTCTTCCCGCGACGAACCATGTGTAGGACGCCAGACTAGCCCCCGCCCCCTAAAAAAAAGTGTATTATTTGACCCATCACCACACGCCTCCAGGGACTTGCTTGAGCTTGCCCGTGCTCTCTCCTGACTTGTCATGAGCCCCAATACGATGTGGATCTCAAAAAGTGACCGAAAATCGGCCAAAATAGCTGCAAAATGCGGCAAAAGTCGAGGAGCATGGGACTCGAACCCACAGCCTTAGGCAGACCTGTTTAAGCACCGGAAGCCTACGCGCTACCATTGCGCCAACCCCCCGGGGCTGGTTGTTATGGTTCTTCTTCGAAAAACAAACTCATATAGACAAATGTATGCAATTGCATGGTACGCCCCCAAGGCGCCTTTGGACGTCCCTGAAGCTACAAAGCTAGAATAGAATCACTCTTTAGACATGGTTTAATCAAATAGAGCAAGTTAGAGATGCCCACCACCCTTCAACCGCCCATGGTCGTAATTTAGCTGCATATCACGATGATCAGGGTGTGGTGTTGAGAGGCCCTTATTCCGCACCAGATGTCGTCGGTCGCGGCTCGCATGATGTTCTCGCTCCTTAGCATCTTCTTTGTTGCAATAAAGTGGCAAAAATTTCCATCTTATTCACATCATTTGACACCCGCCCTTCCCTCAAATCGGTCTTAATGTGATGCAACTTCGGGGTTCCGTAATCAGTGCACCACTGACAACGGCGCTCCTATGCCAGTTTCGACGACAGCTTCATGTCGGCCCCTTCCCGAACAGCCTCATCAATGACACGAGCCACGAGTTCTATACTTTTCGAGTTCAATCCGGACACATTGATCCGTCCATTTCTGGGCAGATAGATGTGATGCCGATCTGTCAAGGACCTGCACTGCTCTCCTGTGAGTTCAAGGTATCTAGAAAGAGTTAGAGGGTTCATTGGAATGTCATGGTTTTGAATGGCTTACGCGAATAGCCCATTTTCTCGAGTGATGTGCGTCCAGTCACCAGGCGTCTGCGTGGTCAGCGTCAAAACAATCACGCCCTCACACCAAGGTGGCTCACTTTGAGCACGTGCGTCAACTGATGGCAAAGTTGCAATCTGAGATCCTTGATCCTCTCCCTCATCGACGAGAGCTCAGATTTCCTAGGTGGCGTCAGTTTCAGTCCCTGCAGACATTTGTCCCAGTGACTCACCACTCCGCGGTCATCTGGTCGTCTGTCAAGACCGTCTTGACAATCCGCGAGCCATAGGCCGGGCTGGATGAGATCTCCCAGCGAATGAGGCATCGAAGTTGATCGTGGACATTTGCAGCCGCCTTGTCGTCGCGACATCCAATGTGCAAAGCTCCGCATCGCTCTCCATAGATTGCGAAGTTCTTGGAGAATGACTGGCAGACGAGCATCTCCATTCCTCTTCTCGCGCAAAGGCGAACGGCATAGGCATCCTCGTCAAGGCCCTGGCCAAGACCCTGGTAAGCAAGATCGAAAAGGGGGAGGTGGCTTCCTTCTTCGAGGGCGTCGACTATTTCATCCCACTGCTCTGGGATTGGGTCGGCGCCGGTCGGATTGTGGCAGCATCCCTGAAGAATGAAGACACTACCAGGAGGGGCGCTTTGGATGGCGTCAAGCGTCGCTCTGTGATCAAAGCTGCGGGTCGATGGATCATAGTGCTGATACTCTGTGATCTGGAGATGAACCAGTTCCAGGGCAGGCTTGTAGTTCCCCCATGCCGGTACGCCAACGAACACTTTTGTAAGTGGTGACATGCTGCGGGCAATGAACAGAAGGGCAAGATGAATTGCCCCTGTACCGGAGATGGTCTGGACAGAGGCGAGCTAGATGGTTCGGCTGGTCAGTTCTGCTGCCTGAGAAGATATCACGACGGCCTGTCAATGAATGCTCACGTTCTCGGGGTCGATGTTTCCATTGCCAAACATCACGCGGGATGCCTCAGACAGGAACTCCCGGTTTCCTGTCGTGATCTCGTACTATCATGAAGAGTTAGAACGAGCACATGCAGACAATGAACGCATCTCACATCATGGCCAAGGTCTGCCGCTGCTATTCTTTTCTTTGCCTAGGGAAAGGTATAGACTGTCAGCCTCCGCCTTTGAAACACGCCCACCCACTTCCCCTTCAACTAACCTCCCTGACTGAGGACAGCTCCTGATAGAGACCGTTCTCGTTGCGGTAGATGCCAACCCCGAGATCAACCTTCAACGGAGATTGGTCGTTGTCTGCTGTCTTCTTGAGCTCATACATGGGGTCAGGGACCCCTGGCTGTATGGATTCGAAAACCATGATGTGGTGTAGGGGGCAAGGGGTGAATGAGGGTGTTAGAAGGTGAAGGTGATTGCCGGCTGCTTCTTACACCTCCCCCATTGATTTATGAGACACCCCGAGTCCATCGATCTTCCTGCCCTCGGAGGCCGAACGACATTGGCCTTGTCGCCTGCTCGGTCACTCGGTCGGCTTGAAGGGAGCCCCGATAGATGGCCGGGCGGAGTGGCCGAGGTGGAGCTCGGTTATTGGGACCGAGGTGGACGCGACTAGCACTCACCAAGCCCTCGGCCACCGTGCCCGAGAGGAGACCCCTTGTTAATCCGACGATGCTAGGGGCCGGCTTTTCGCCATTCTGCGAGGGCACCAGGGTTATCATCAGGGCATGGTGATGTAAATTAGATAGATAGCAGAGGCAGCTGCAAGCTTTCCATGTTTCCGCACGTTCGAAACGAAGCCCCTGAGCCAAACAACCACAGCCACATCATCCCTGGAATCCGATTCCCTCATCAACATGTTATCCTGCGCCAACAACCTTCAGCTCAGGGCCACAGCCGGCCAGGTGTGCAGAGTAAGCCGTGTTAATGAGCCACTTGAAATGCCCGGACCATGAATCTGACTGACGGACCTTCAGGCCCTCGGAGTAAGGCTTGTAACCAATCCCCAGGTCGCCCAACTCGCCAAAAATGCAGGCTTTGACAGCGTATTTATTGACTTGGAGCACTCGTCGCTCTCTATTGACGATGCTGGCAACATCAGTAACGCAGCCCTGTCGATAGGCATCACGCCATTCGTCCGGGTGCCGTATCAGTGCGGCAATGGTTTTGTTCAAAAAGTCATGGATGCGGGGGCCATGGGAGTCATCTTCCCCCACGTATCCAACCCGAGTATGTGAAGCATGTCTTGCTTGCACCCTCTTATCATGCTAAGAATTCCCAGGCGAGGCGAGAGCAGCTGTCAGCATCTCAAAGTATCCTCCCATGGGATCGCGGTCCATGACAGGCTCGCTGCCAGTCTTCTCTCTCTTGCCGACAGAAAGCACGGTAGTCATCGAAGAAAGCAACGCGAGCGCATCTTCCGTCATCGTCATGATCGAGAGCAGGGAAGCCGTGGAGCAGGCCGAGGAGATCGCTGCCGTCCCCGGTGTTGATGTGCTGCTGGTTGGCTCCAATGACTTAGCCATTGAACTAGGGGTCCCGGGCGGGTTCAGGACGGAAGTGTTCAGGTCTGCGCTGGAGACTGTGTCGAAGGCTTGCAAGAAGAATGGCAAGATCATGGGTTTGGCAGGCATCTATGACCAGCAGGACATCCATGAGTGGGCGATTAACACTCTCGGAGTGCGGTACATGCTCTGCCAGCAGGATTCGGGGCTGATATTTGGCGCTGGCAAGAAGTGCATCGCCGCTATTCCGCCGGTATCACCGTAGTAGACGCGTCAATCTGGTATTGCTGTATCAATCTATCTCAGCAACTGTGTAATATGCCCCTCCCTACCGCCTGCATTGAAGCCCTAAGAGTCGCGCAAGCCTTGTAATACAGGGAGGTAGGTGTTCACCTTGCACAGTGCTTATCAGAGGGTCTTTCAGGGCATCCGAGCTAAGACTCGATCTAGTTTGGTGCCGGCTCAGGGTGGCCAACCCCTCAAAACTCCCTGTGAAGCCGACATGATCCACCTTCAATCCTGCATCATCATCACCACAACACTGGTCCATCGCTCCTCTCGTTTAGGATTGGACAGATCCTCGTGCAGAATGGAAGAGCCTACACGCGAAAGACCGAACGCCAATTCTTCATCGTCAAGGGCGAAACGAAAGACTCCAGCGTGAGCAACTCCTCCGGACTCCGACCGTCCGTCCGCAACGCCTCCGCCCCTCCGTATCTGAGCCATTACAGGTGCCTCCAATGCCGAGACCGCAAGGTGCGATGCTCTGGAACATGCCCCTGCTTGAATTGCAGCAGACGCTCAGAGACCTGCGTCTTTGAGCAGGATGAGAAGAAGGTTCTGGTATCCGAAAGGTGGGTGCTGTGTCCACTCCCACAGCGCTGTTTCGACAAGCAGCTGACGATGGCAGACTTCTCAACGATCTCAAGAGGAAGGCCGGGTATCAGGAGACTGATGAAAACGCACATCCCGAGAAGCGACGTGGCAAGTATTCGTTGCCATCTAATCTAACTCTAGCTGACACGAGCAGCGATCAATTTGGAGGCAGTGGACTCTGAAAGGGCGCAATCCGCCGAAGCCGTCCGAAATACCACCCTTGAACCGCCACGGGAAGTCGATGCTGGGCTTGGGGAAGACGACGACCACACATTAAGAAACCCGCTCGTCATATCGCCCTCCAAATTTCTGACAGACTCCAAGGGCAGAAAGCGTTGGTTCTTCTCCTCCCCCCTTTCGACATTTGCTGACAATTTCCAAAAGGGTTCCTCGGCCCTTCGTCAACCTGGGCTTATAGCCGTCACGTCATTGGCCTTCTCAATGAGCATTTACAGTACCAGGAATCCCCCGAGGCGCCTCGAAACGTCGACGGCGTGGCCTTCCCGCTGAATCTGCCACATGTCAAGCTCCCACAGCAATGCATTGATCTTGGAACCCTTCCGCCTCTTGACTACGCCATTTACCTCACCAATACAGTCAAATTTCACATTGGACAGAGTTACCACCTCATGGATGAGGCGGTATTCATGGCCAACCTCTTTTCTCTTCACAATGGTGGCATGCAAGACATGACATCGACCACGAGACTCTGGCTCAGTCAGTACTTCATCATTATGGCGCTTGGCAAGGCACTCCTGCACCGTGGCTTCTCCAAATCCTGCCCGTTTGGAAAGGACTATTTCCTGCGTGGAATGGAGTTTCTACCAGACGTCAGCGGTCTCCATGACGATCCCGTACTTGCCATGGAGGTTTGCTGCGCGATCGCGCTATACCTACAGTCCGTGGATCATCGAAACACCGCCTTCGTCTATGTAGGACATGATCTTCAGATGTTGGAGCGATCTGCTAATTTCCTTCG